GAATTATATTAATTTCATGTATAATGTAGGGCTCTGTGTCAATACACATTCTAGGTCAGCTGCGTATAGAACACATGGTCTTATTCAAGAGAAATCTTCGTGATTCACGGTCGACTGGCAAATATCAACTTTACAGCTATGGTTCCAAGCTGGGGAACCCGTTACCAGCGATGCACGAAGCACTATGCAATGAAAATTGCATGTTACATTAATGACAGCAATAATAACAGAGGTAAATAATTTGCAGGTTTATACACTTGCAGGGCAGCGAACCAAAGTCCTTCACTGCATCAGACCATAACGTAACAGTTGCTAGCCAACAAAACTCGTCACTATTACTGTACATTTTTATTTTAACATTTTAAAGCACAATGGTTAGCTAAATATTTTACTACTCCTAGTAAAAGCTGTTTGGAACCAGACTTCTAGAGAAAAAATGAAGTAGACGTTTATACTCAATATAATTTTGTGCGAGCCTTGCCATTTTCGAGATAATTAAAGAAAAGAGAACAAAAGTGCAGGAATTTCTACTCTGTGTGTAGATTTCTTAAATTGTTAAATATTAAATATTTCAAGCTTAGAAATATTAACACAGAGCTGAAGTTATAAGTCCATAATAGATAAATAATAATTTTGCATTTCCTTTACATGCCGAGAGATGGTGCCCGCGGCGGTGAAATAGCGTCCTTCCTTATGGCCTCTTAGCCGGTCAATATGGTAATGACCATGGCCCAGTTTCAGCCAGCCAAATGTTACAATCACATGCTTTATTACTTCTTACCAACATTTCAGCATTAAGTCCTTGCTTAAACCTTTAAAGATTGAATTTCTTCTAAATAATATATATATATATAAATTCAGTTCCCACCTCACAGGAAACACATTACATCTCCCCTACGAATAGCAACCGGTTAATGCTGTTTAGAGAAATAAGTGCTGTTTACTACGAGAAACACACTGTGTTGGCGCAGAAGGTAGCGTTTTGGCATATTAAAGCGGGTGGTACATATAGTGACCACTTGGCTTTAAATGGTTAAGGCAATCTGGTTGGCACAAATGGGGCATGGTCGTGAAAGAAAAAAAGGACATTTAACCCTTTTAAAGACCGAAAGCCATCCAAGTAACTTTTTCAAGTTAAATTTCTGCCTCACAGAAAATACAACTCTATTACAAAAATTGATCGCTTATTATTATTTAGGTAATTAATCGCTGAAAGTAACTATTACCTGGGATGTGGTACCATATAGTCTGGTAGAAATCCACCTAAATTTCGTAGGATTATACTGCCTTTGTCTTCAGGGTCGAAGGGAGACCCAAGCTAGAAACCAATATGCAAGCAGCAAACACGCTTAGCTGCCTGGTTCTTGCAGATTATTCGCTTGGTTTACTCTTCGTCCCTGAAGACAGAGGCAATATAATCCTATGAAACTTTTCGAATTTCTATTAGGCTACATGGTGTCATATTCCTGAAGTTGGTACTGTCCATAGTTACCACCGTGAGACCGCAAGTTGACGAAACAATCGACATTCATTCTGAGAACCACACGAAATACATAAAAATTCTATATAGTGGTTCAACGGAGTTATCTGAAGTCATAAAATTTTCACGAAATGGTAAAGTAATCTCGTAGAATCTACTGTTTGGTCTGGTCGTAGGGTACTAATCGACGTTTCACCAACTGAAGAGATTATTTCTTGTCAGTGTGAAATGTGTAACCCTTCGATGGATTAAGCCGTCTGGCCTATTCCCAATCAGAATTAATCTGACAGACAGTCGGTATGACTCCTTGGAAAGGGGATCAGCCCATCGTAAGGCGACTACGTACACAGGAAACCCGCGGACATTACATCCATACGTCGAGTGACATTCGAACCCACGATGCCAGTGTTAGAGCGGAGGAAGACATTTCGTGCGTTAGACTTCTCGACCACGTTGATCGGCTGAAAATATTTCAAAATTAAAATTATCTTGGTCTGGACCTGGAACTCGCATTTGTTCCACGATATGTATAGTCAGTAAGTAATCTGCGATTAAGCCAAATCGTGACAGAATTTGATTTCTGGGTCTCTTGAGGAATGGATGCGAGTAATTATAAGATCCCAAAGCATCGTTTCAAGTTACGTTTATGACAATATTTCTTTTAAAAATTTAGTCAGAATTCACTCAGTGAAATTGCGACTGATAGATGATCGAAACCATAAAAAGACCATCAAAGAAAAGTTTAACGCGCCTGTCAATTCGTGGTGAAATAAGAGTTAAAAAATTGCCACAATTTATCAACTGTAGAAATCGTCAATTCATCAATGCCATGCTAATAATCACTGCCTACACATTCCTTCAGAAAAGGCTTGCATGGTTAAGACTAGAACTGAGAACAAGAAGATGAGAATATACAGTTCGAGAACAGAAGTAACAGGATGATGATGAGAAGGGCATAATCAAAGCCTCATAATCTCCACTCTTCACCAGGTAATATTAAGGCCATCAAATCAAGCAGGATAAATGAAGCATGCATAAGAGAGACGATATATAGTACAGGCTGTGATTTTGACCTGGCCTCTGGTTTGCGCATAATAAGTTATCAGAATGGAGTGGATCAGTTGATGCAGCTATAGTGTGAGGGGGAGGGATGGAGGGTGGGAGATGCGCTACAACTAAGGCCCAGTTATAATCCCCTACACACACGATAACTCCCCTTTCAGTTAGTGAACTAGAACAAATGAATTGCGCATTCTACTGATAAAGGCCAGGTGTAAAAAACACAGACTGTATATAACAAACTCCACTCTTAGATTCTTAAGGATAAAAAATTACTTTGGCATCTAGAGGCAAATGGGATGATGATATTAAAATGTATGTTAAAGAAACGTGGTTTTAAGACGTTGGATGAATTTAATTGTCTCATGACAGCATCCGTTTGTGGGATCATGTGAATACGCTAATGAATTTTCGAGGTCCATAAAAGGGCGGGGAATTCCATGACTACTTCAGTGAATATCACCTCAAGAGGAAGTTTGTTTATGTTTAATGAAAGGTGAAGCTTGAAAATTGAATTGTTTGGGCACATATGCTTCAGCTTTTTCTCGTTACACTTCTACTTCTTCCCTTTTGGCGCCACAATTCGTTTCGCGCTAGTGTCTCTTCAGCAGGACATGTTCTGCAAATACTTATTTACAAAAGACACCGAATAATTTGGATGGAATAGCGCTCCACCGAAAGGGCTCTCTCTGCCTTCTTAGAGCAACACAGAATCAAACATATCTCCCATTAGATACACTTAACAAGATCCCAGTGTTTAACCCTTCAAAACCCCAGTGGTTACTATATATACCACATCCGTTAACATACCAAAACTCTGCATTCTCCCCGCAGAGTGTATTTGAATGTTTCTTATGGTTTTCATGGTAAACATCAATTATCTTCATAAACAACATTATGCAGGTTGACTTCTGCATCGGAGACGCAATGTGTTTCCTGTGAGGTACAGTCTAAAATATTATATATTATTTATCAGAAATTCGTTCTCTCAAGAGGGTCGTTGTACTAAGCAGAAAGAGTCAGACCCCTCCTCTCGTCAAACAGGAGGTCCCATTTCAAACACATATCTTAGAATGAACAGAAATATAGTCATGTGTCCTGACCCTGCCCGAAACTAAGAATGACTGTGCTGGCGAAACCAACAGCAATTCACCCGACCCAGTCCGCCACAGTCTCTAAAGATTTAAGATGATAAAGGCTACTTCATTACTGTTTTTTTAGTTTTCGTTGTTAAAAAGGCAAGTGGAAGAAAAAGTGAAGTCCAATGTTTAATTATTCACCACATTATAAAGGCGTATGGGGAATGTAGGTTAGGTGGAGATGTTAATCTCGGCACTTGAGAAATGTGAGTGATCACCTTCACTCCCTGGCCGCTTTTCCCTCGGAAAAAGAGCCCCCGGTACCAATTTAATATGAGGTTGTTTGAGTCTCATAGTCGGATCGAACGTCTGTTGGCCTTGTTGGGAACTGAAATCAGATTTTTCTGTGGTTCAGCCTGTAGCCTAATCATTGTACAGACTGGACCATCCAAGCTCTATTTACTTCTAGAGATCTGTTTGAATTATATGCAGAACGAAGCCTGAGGGCCAATAGAAAATTGCCCAACTATATCATTGTCATGTCTCTAAGTGCATGTCCTCAACGGTCAATGCCAGAAGCAAAGACCTCGGAAACACTTAAATGATTGATCCATGTTACGTTTACAAAACGTTCTTCATGCCCAATACACGCGTCTGCCATTAACCTCTTTTTTCCTTCTGTTTCTGTCATCAAATGTTACAGCGCCTGCGCGTATTGAATCGTGGTGTGTGCTTTGGACAAATCAACCCATAAAATGAAGTTGGTATGGTAACCGATTGAATTGCACGAACAGTATGGTACCGCAGGCTATGTGTACGCTGTAGTCTTGTGTTTTATGTCATACATTTTCTTGTAATAATTTCAGGATTCCAATCAGACAAACGTCATTATAAGTTTAGAATCTTAAACAAACAACCGTTATAAATATTGCGTATATTTGATCACATTGTAATATTTGTTCTTAGGTGATTTAAATTGTTATAGACTAGAATGCCTATAAGAAATAAAATAAAAATCGGGCCTGTTGTAAAACAATATAAATTTATTCTTATATTCCGCTGTTCCGCATCTGAAAATATGTTTCTGTGACTGTTATTCACTGAAAAGAATTGAGAAAGTGGAGGTAAAGCTCCATATATATTTGCACTAATGAGAGCTGTGCGCGAATAATAATAATCCGCAACGTGTTAATTACACAAGAGATTGCGAAAATATTTCTCCTGCTTTCATTTATATATTAATATAATTATTATCTTCTATGGTCCCTACATTTTTGTTAGCAGTTAAAATACACTACTTACAACATTGAAAACAACATCTACAATAAGTACAACATCGTATTCAACACTTAACAACTTTTCAGAGTGTAAAGTGTTATCTTATAGTAACTGGCGTGAAATATATGTGTAATTAGTGACTTCTGATGTAGTTGTTGCTCGTTTAAGAAATAAGTGGACCATGAAACAGTTGCGTGAAATGTAACCTAACAGTGAACTGGATTTCACAACTGAATCACATGAAGCGAAGGATTTAATTAAGCAAAATGGGTAACAATTTCTTGGATTCGAGTTTGTCTTCTGTGGTGTCCATGGACCTGAGTTCCTCATGGGCAGCTCGGAGCTGGGAAAGCGCGTACGTTCATCAGAACAGTCCACAGATACGGGTAAAGTATTAAACCAAAACCAGTCAGTTCTCATCATTATAAATTAGGAGGTTTTTCTCAGTTTTTAGATAATAACAGTAGACACAAACATGTGTTAAACAAACAATTAATTTACTTTGATTAGTCAGTCGCTATAGCGACATGGCTACGGGCCCGAGGCCCGCGAAATAGCAATTCTATTTTGGGCAATAGCACCCAGACCGGCTCTGGGACCCACCGTGCCCTCTTTCTCCGAAGCTAAAGCGGCCGTGACGTGAAGGTTAAGATTGCGTGGAGCTATACTTCCATTCGGCCACGTTTTCATGACGTAGTGCTTAATTAAGTACAGAGACAAACTCGTCTTTACTGTTACTCTATAAGCGGGCAAGTGCCGGGTGCTTTGAAGATGTGGCACAGTTCAAATATTTAAGAACTACCGTAACAAATCAAAATTTGTTTGGTAAGAAATTAAGAGAAGATTGAATTCGGGTAATACTTGCTACCATTCAGTCCAGAACCTTTTGTCTTCTCCTCTACTGTCTGAAAATGAAATTAGAATACAAAATCTATAATTTGCTGTGGTTCTCCATGGGAGTGGAACTTGGTCTCTCACATTAAGGGAGGAAGACAGACTGAGGGTATTTGAGAACAGGGTGCTGAGAATAATATTTGGACCGGAGAGAGATGAAGTGACGGGAGGTTGCAGGAAACTGCATAATGAGGAGCTTCATAAATTTACTCTTTGTCAAGTATAATTAAAATGATCGGGTCAAGGAGGGTGAGATGGACAGGGCATGTAGCACGAATTTGGAGAAGAGAAATGCCTATAGAATATTGGTGGGAAAGCCAAAAAGAAAAAGACCACTAGGAAGACTAAGACGTAGATGGGTGGGTAATATTAAAATAAATGTTATAAAAATAGGATGGGTTGATATGGACTGGATTAATCTGGCTCAGGATAGGGTCCAGTGGAAGGGTCTTGTGAACACGGTAATGAACATTCGGGTTCCATAAAATTCTGCGAAGTTCTTGAGTCGCTGAGCGACTGGCGGCTTCTGAATTAGAGCTCAGCTCCAAGAAGCTAGTCATGTGTTTCGTTGTGGCTTGTGATTTTCCTCCGGACTAGAACATAATTAAATAAGTGAAGTTTGAGGTTTTTACTGCGGTGACTATGAAGATTACATTTTTCTTGGTTGTGACGCCGTGTAGTTATTTATAGGTACCTATTTTAACGTCTCCGAGGAAGTTGTTGCCTCCGTCTTCAGGGTAAAGGAGTAAGATGTTCCGAAAAAGTCAGTGATATAAAGAACTGCGGAGGACTGAGGCTAAGGACCAATAGGAGCGCTGGTGCTGAATGGGAACCTGTGGCCCTTAAACGGGCCTGGCGAGTAGACAAGAAGAGAGATATGAAGAAAGGAGTCTTCTGGAATTTGGCACCGTTTATATGTGGTATTAACCGACGTTTCGGAGGAACGTATCGCCTCCATCTTCAGGGTAGAAGGAAAAATATAAGAAACCCGCAAGCGAAGAGACCGTGAGAACCGGTAAAAGTAGCTGCTTTTACCGGTTCTCACGGTCTCTTCGCTTGCGGGTTTCTTATATTTTTCCTTCTACCCTGAAGATGGAGGCGATACGTTCCTCCGAAACGTCGGTTAATACCACATATACACGGTGCCAAATCCCAGAAGACTCTTTTCTTCGTAGTCACCGCCGTGAAAGCCTCAAATCTTACAAGAAGAGAGGTAAATTATAAAACGCAAAGGAGATAAAGAATAGAGGAATAGAAAATGAAATAAAATACGAAAAATATGTAAATAATAAAGAGTAAAAAATGAAATTTAGTTCATTTGTGGTCTGCTTAATGACGTTATCGGTAAATCAGATTGCACAATGTCGACAGAACTGTTGATAATGGACGAACTGGAAATAGTGTGGAAGGCAGTGTTCATAAACTAATTTACTGTACTCTCCCGGCATATGGCTGGAGGGACTGAAGAATGCCATGTAAAATGTTGGTGCCTCTGTCTAGATTCGGAGAGGGTAAAGAAAGTTAGGAATTTGGGTGATGAGACTGTTTAAAATTAAAACAAACAAAACAATATAAAATAAAATGACTATTTGCTAACCTACACGATGTCACACAGCACATATTTCAACAAGTTTTACGGAACAAAGAATCTATTAATCTCGTCCCCATAGCCTTACATTTATGCAGTAAGTCTTCTTTTACCGAATACAGAAACTTAACACGTAAAGCCGCGAAATGGTTTCCCTCCGGTGACAAATAATTAGTGATGTGTCCTCAGAAAACGAAAACGTTTGTGTGAAGGAAAAATCCATTTAATTCACATTAAAACACGCAAATGTCACAGGTGGCAAGGCTTGCGTGTTTGCGTCAGATGTGTGTCACATTATGAACGCGCAGTCAATATAATTCCAATAGTCACTGACTTACCTTGAGGGCCGACAGACAATGGTGTTGTCCCAGAGCATTAGCTGACTGCACCTGTAAGGACAGAGGGAAACCAAATAACTCAGAGACAAAATTACCTCTTGTCTTCATTCTTCCATGAGCCTAGATAGCTTTGTCGGTATAGCGACAGGCTATAATCTGGAAGGCCACAGTTCGATTCTCGACATGGGTAAGTTTTCCTCCCTTTTTTACATAGCGTCCATACCGGGACTGAGGTCCATCCAGCCTCTTATGAAATGAGCACAGAGGACTATTTCCTCAGGGGTAAAGCGGTCGGAACGTGAAGCTGACACCTCCAGCTAGTGCCGATTTCCCGCATACATCGTCATGGCGCAGTGCTGAATTAATTAAGCTCAGGGAAAATTTCATATTTATTTTTGAATGTTGAATTTGATTTAAATTATCTTCGTGATTCCATTGTTGTTAAAATCATGTTTAGTTCTTTCCCATTCCTAATGTTCCGTCGAAAGGCAGGCGTTGTAATAGGTAAAAACGTTAGCCTTCCCCCCCCCCCAATTTCTAATATTCTTTCGAAAGACAGGCAGGGTAATAGGTAAGAACGTAAACCCCTGTACTTCAGCACCATATCATAGAGTGGTGTGGCGTTTGATGTATAGCTCCACTCATTCTTAAACTGGGCGTTAAGTGAAAGTAATGAGCTTCAAGCCCCGGTAGGTCTACCCCTCGGGGAAAGAGCCCCACTGTATAGGGACCTCGGTGGGTCCCAAAGCCGGTAAGGACGCTGTCGGGAAAAGGAAACTCTGTACCCCTCCCGGAAATCGAACTAAGATTCGTCGGGATTCGAAGCATGTGAAGCTGAGCATTTGATACGAAGTGTTTACAGAGCAACTCACACCTCCGGAATCGATGCAACGTTGCTGCAGCATGCCATCTCACCGCCAAACTGTAAACGTATGTCCAAGGCGCAGAGTTCAGATCGATCGGATATGAGCTCATGGCCAATTTGTTTCTGAGTTAATCGCATTTTTAACGATTTATTACAGGCGTATTTAAACTAAGACAAGATCCGCCCTTCCGGTGTTCGTGGCTTCCAGCCCATCATCTGTTCTTGGTGATACAGACAGCTCATGGTATAATGGCGACTAAGGTTAAAACCAAAGGCCGCACCATAGCTCAAGCAGTTGGTCGATGGCTTCCCACCGCAACGGCCCGGGTTCGATCCCGGGTCTGGTCAAGTAGAATTTGTGGTGGACAAAGTGGCGCTGGGGCGGGTTTTCTCAGAGTACTTCGGTTTCCCCTGCCAATCTTCATTCCACCAAATTCTCCATCATCATAATCACCCGGGGCAGGCTACAATAGGCCAATCAGTGACCGCCGTGCCGAGTGGACCCAGTTGGACTCCACCCCCCCCCCAAGCGAAAAAGGTTAAAACCAAAGGGCATATTTATAAATAACGGCCAGTTGGTCCCATCACATGATCTTCCAATATTATCATATGACAGAAACATTCGTTAATAATCAGAATTTCCTGTTTGTAGTGGAAACTAGTGGCTTTATACCACGTGCTTTAATATTCGTATGGGGCACGCGGTCGTGTAGATGGTTGAGGCAGTATGATACAAGAGAGAAGGTCGCCGTTTCGATTCCCGATGAGGTCACTGAATTTTTTCAATTGAACTAATCATTCCAGCCGCACTATGGCCCTGAGGTCGATCCAGCCTCTAACAGAAATGAGTACCAGGAATCTCCCTGAGTCGGGAGGGGGGTAAAGGGCGGCCTGCGCGTAAGGCTGACAACCTTATCGCCATCTGTGAGCCGATTGTCTACAAAAATGGGAGCCTCGACGTCTCACAACCCTATGGGCCTCCATGGCCTGTTACAGGGATAGATTTACCATTTTCTAACATTCAGAAAGTCTTCACTGTGCCCACATAATGTGTTGAAGTGTCTAGTATATCAGATTAAAACGCGATTAAATTCCTGAGTAGCATTAACTAATTTGTCTCTGTAACGGAGGCAAGGAGTCATAGTCTTCTGTAACGGAAACAAGAAGAATTCATAGCGTCTTCTTTGAAGTAGGAACTTAATTTTTAAATGTTACTGACTCCAGGCAAATATACGATACTTGTACCCTGAATTTGATGGTAACAGGTAAGTATATACCATAATGTACGGTGTCCCATCCCAGAAGGTTGTAGTCTTCGATATTCAGAATCCTTATATATGCAGGACGCAAAGTTGTCCCTGTACTTAATTAAGCACCGCGCTATGAAGACGTGTGGAGGATTTGAGACATAATTCTACCCAAATTAATCTTGGCACTAGATGGATGTGATTAGCCAGTTTCTCGCCCCGGAGGTGAAAGAGCCACCGGTGCCCATTGGATAGCAGGCTCAGTGTACCCACAGCCTGTCTGGAAGCTGTAGAGAAGAGAAAACTCTTCCCCTGCCGGGAATCCAGCAGAGATCTCTGAGTCGTCCATCGCACAACGTAATTAAAATACCGACTACGCTATTTCGGGTTCTTATTCAAAATGTGTTAAGTTAAAAACCCATAGTTTGAAGAGAATATAGGTACTTTAAGAGTAGCTTCCCCGGGGATTTAATTCCGTGTCGACTGGAGAGTGTCCAACGTTGCGGAAGTCACACATAGCATCTATATTAAAGTTGTTCTTCCGAAACGTCGATCTCTCCCCGATTTATAACGTTATAACCTAGAACACCTTATTCTTCACAGTCCTCACCGTGAGAACCTCGGATCATTCATAAGAACACATCTGGTTACTTGTTTGTTTTGTTATCCTTCAAAACAATTTCGGGTTGCCTTCATGAGTCTGTGTTGCCACTAAAAGTTTTTCACACCATGTCAATGACACGAACAGACCCTTCGGCGAGTGGCGCCATAGGGAGTCTTTCGATTCAACGATTGCATAGTCTGTCTATTTTAGGTAGACCTCTGTAATGCGCATTGTGGGGATAAGTAAGCGCTTAATGTGTACGTATAGACAGACACTCTTGCAGTAGGTTTCATACCTGCCTATCTACATGATGTATTGGTATGTGGTGACCCACAGGACCACTCACGTGACATAGAGACTTCTACGCACCTATGCTGTTTCCTAGCTATGATAGACAATTTATGACTTCTTACCTCATGACTAAGCCTAAAATTCCAGAAGAAATCGAAGCCTGGGAACGCAAAGAAGAGTGTATTAGAGGCAAAAATATTACCTCAACATTAGGATGATTGAACTACAGTGATTCAGGGTCTTGGCCGAGGGCAGCCAGCGTATATTGGTAACTTCCGATTACGAAATATGATTGCTTTCATTTGGTTTCGAGTGTATAATCAAATCCACGGTTTTGCTGATGAGTTTCTCAAACTTTTTATTATGACGCCCCCCCCCCGCTTTTTAGATTCTCCAAATTCTCATGTGTCATTCCGCAGATGATTATCTTTTTGTTGAAATAAATATAAATCTTTGCATTTGTGGTTATGTCATTGTTTATGAAGAACTAACTTCACCAAAACTGTCAGTAAAAAAATCAACTTCTTAAAGTGAAAATTTTGCATGGTGCTTTTTATTTGATGACAAACTATGTAGAAAAATGTTGAGAATTTCATTGCTCTAACTTTCTATACTTATATTAGCAGTACTAACATGCTCACGGGAGAGATAAGCAAATGCAGCTAGAAACAATTACTTCAGCTGAATTTTAACATTAAAATTTCATTTATTTTCTCATGATCTCTGAGGGCAAAAGCGGGCGTGGTTTCAAGTTGAACACTCACCTTCATCTAGTGCCGAGTTCAAAAACAGTGGAGCTATACCTGCACTCATATGCCTTAATGGCATAATGTTTAATTAAGTAATTAAGTAGAGGGACAACTTCACTTTTTCCTCATATCACCACGCACCTCCAGCCGCCCCCCTCCCCCTCAAGAGTGAGAACCACTGCTATGAACTCTCGTTCAGCGTGGGGATTAGGCTTATCGAGAAAAGCGCGTTAGATAAATCCCTGTTACACGGAATTAATACCCTGTGGGTTAAATTGAGGTACGTGAAGTCTGCAGTTAATAACTAGATACCTAGAATTCTTACACGCATAAGTGGATTGTACTACCCAGGTTGATTTAAGTTAGCAAAAGTACCAGAATTTATTACAGCTTGGATTGCAAGTCTGTGGACATTTCTAGTACAGTAAGATTTTAAACATGTCTCGGCAAGTACTTGGTAGACAGTTTGCAGAACCAGCTGGGGTAAAGAGATGAAGAATATTCCCTCGGCATTAGAATAACATGCGGTGCTTCAGAGACGTGGTCCCCGACAGACTGCTTATGCTCAGCTTTTAAATTAATTTTTTAATTATCTTAGTGGGGGGCAGCGTGGAGTCCAACTGGGTCCACTCGGTACGGCGGCCACTGATGGGCCTATTGTAGCCTGCCCCGGGTGATTATGTTGATGGAGAATTTGGTGGAATGAAGCTTGGCAGTAGAAACCGAAATACTCGAAGAAAATCAGCCCCAGCGCCACTTTGTTCACCACAAATCCCACTTGACCACACCCGGATCGAAACCGGGCCGCCGCGGTGGGAAACGAGCGACTAACCGCTTGAGCTGTGGCGATGCTCAGTTTTCTTTCGTGGACTGTCTGATGAAGTTGTCAGCAACAAGACCAGAGTTCCTCAAAGTCTCTGCAAGTGCGGACCACTACATTGGCGGTCGGCGCACGCGTGGACCACTCAGCCATCATAACATCCTTCTTTGCCGTAAAGAGCAAGCAATGGCTTTTCTGCCTGCGAATAGGTTATCATGTCGAGAAGTGTAGATGTTATAATTGAAAGTTGTATATAATGAGATATACGAGTATGTGTGATGAAGCTGGAAGCAGGCTACACGGTACCATAACCCAGAAATACACCTTCAAAAATTCAAGTCACATGAGCAAAATCTCTCAAGCGATAATGTTACTGACTTATCAGAAACGTGCCCTGTGCTTACCTCGGCTTCCACGACGACTGTACTAACTGGGATTTTCGTGATTTCTTCAGTCTCTACGGACAAAT